TTATCTTTCTGCTGACGTTTAGCGACTTCTAGACCATTTCTAAGCTGAAACTTAAAACACAGATCAAATAGAAATGCACTATCAAGAAAGAAAGGAGACAGTGTAACAAGCAAATGTACGCAAACGCGCAAGTTCAATTTTTATCCGGAATTATCCCCAAAAAAATACTGCCTCGACACTTATAAGATCGCCTCTGTCCTGTACATTTGTTTTTATACATGAAAAGCCTATTCATTCCATACAAAATCTAATTGATGTCTGGTCCCACCAAGCCCATGGTAGGCCTACTGGTTTTGGTAATCAGCAATCTAATTGTATCAGTATCATTATCGTAAAAAAGTGCGCGGCTTTTAATGTTTATAGTTGTTGTTTTTTTCTCGAAAGTGCACGGCTCTGATGTTCTCCCGACCAGTAGTCAAGCAATGGTCAGTGTGAGAGTGTTCAGTCACTCTTACATCCATTGCTTTCAAGCGCCTTGAAAAATTGATCCTCTCAAATATTCTAGGTTGTGTTCATGGAAATCTAGATCCATTCCAGTTTGCATACAAACAAAAGAGGAACGTAAAAGATGCTGTACTTGTTTTTTGTGACTAAGTACTGAACCATCTTGAAACATTTAAAATGTATACGAGGGTACTTTTTGTTGATTTTCTTTCAGCATTTAAACAATTCAACAGCATATTGTCATAGAAAAACTTCTGAGTCTGAGAGTTAGTCATCATGTCGCGGCATGGGTCCGAGAATTTTTTACAGGCAGACCACTTAAGTCGAACAACACAAAATCAGACACAATCCTTTGTAACACCGGCGGTCCTCAGGTCAGGGCTGTGTTTTGTCACCAGTTTCGAAAACGATACACCAACGATCATAGAAGTAAATATAGTTCAACCGCATATTTTCATTGAATAACTTCAGAGTCTGAGAGTTCGTCGCAGCATGGGTCCTAAAATTTTTTTTACGGGCAGACGACAATAATATTAATATGTTAAGTTGAACAACACAAAATCTGACACAATCCGGCGGTCCTCAGGACTGTGTTTTGTCGCCAGTTTCTTATACAAAATACCAACGATCATAGAAGTATATATATAAAACAACACGCTTGATTAAATTTGCAGATGACGCCGCTATTATTGGATTAATAAACCTTGATGAAAAAGAGTATTTCGAAGAAATATGACAATGTTATGCTTTTTAAATGGTGCAATTCAAATTTTCTTAAAGTGAATCTCTCAAAAACGAAAGAAATTATTTTTTCATTTTAGAAGAGAAACCAACAATCCCACCACTAGTAATTGAACAAGAAACAATTGAAATTTCGGATTCATACAACTATCTTGGTCTTACAAGGGAAAACAACTTTACATGGCAAGATCACATTAGAGACTGTACTTTCGGAGGGTTTTTCAATCTGAATCCATCTATTCTTCAGATATTTTACACCACCACAATAGAAACTTTGATAAATTTTGGTATCACTTGCTAAGGTAGCAATTTGGGAAGGAAGGCAGCACATCATGATATCATAAAAATAAAACAGTTGATCAGAAAGGCATCAAGAACATTTGGTAGACACCTAAGTAACTTTGAATATCTGCACTAAACAAACTTCTAAAAAAAAGGCGGAAATAATGCTAAGTGACCATAGCCACCCACTGACATCGGAATTTCAACTATCGACCCGCAGTAAACGATACATTTTTTTAAAAAAGCAAGAACAGACAGATATAGAAGTGCATTCGTACCAATGTAGTGAGGTTACTGAACTCACAGTGCTACAAATGAAACAGCGAGAGAGAGAGAGAGAGAGAGAGAGAGAGAGAGAGAGAGAGAGAGAGAGAGAGAGAGA